CTGGTTCACCTTTCAATTTTCTTTTACATTTGGAAATGTGTGCCTATCTTGTTGGAGTTGATTGTGAGTAGTTGAAAATTCTGCTTGTACAGAATGGATACGACGCTTTCCTTTATCCTTCTATAAGTTCCCAATGCTAAGATGCTATTACAGAGAAGAGGACTATAAAGAAGAAGAGGAAGCCACTAAGAAAAGCAAGGAAGAAGCGCCACACTTTAGGTAGTCTTGTGTTTCATTTGTAGCTTCTATCCACATAATCCTACTCTTCTGCTTTTTCACACACATGGTTTTAGAAGTTATCAACCGGTTTCTGAGGAAATAGGAAAAGTAGAGCAACCTGTACCAAAGCTCGATGTTGTAGAAGAAGTTATTGCTTCGCATCTGGAAGTAGGTTTTCATTCCATTTGAACCAGTTTCTCCTTCGTAGCTTCGATTTCGTACTACGACCACTTTTTAGGACACTAAAAATGTGAAACCAGTTGAAACTGTGGATCTCTCCACCTTGGCGCCTAAGAAGGTTGATTGGGATTTGAAGAGGGACATCGAGAAAAAGTTGCAGGTCAGTTTCATATCTATCGACAATTATGCTTTGTCGTTGCACAAAACTTTCTTGTTTTAGAAGTTGGAACGAAGGACACAAAAATGTATTGCTGAGATGATCCGGCAACGGTTAGCTGAAGGCAAAGGTGATCTGGCCAGTACAGTGAATGCTGGCGTTTAATGTATGCCTAGAAACGTTTTTCCTTGTTATCTCAATGCGCTTTGCGCGCTTTTCACTACTCAATCATTGTGATGTATATTTATCTCATTCGATTTTTTCTTGTTTCAAAAAACGATTAAACGTATTACTTTTGTGTTGAAGGCTGCTGAACATATCAATATCGGGAAGGGAATTGTAAACAAGATTAGTCGCAAAGAGTTGAAAGCATCGACCCGGCACAAGTTCGTTTTTCAGTTTTTCATCTGTTCGAACCCTTCTCGTCATGAAAAACCCATATTGGGGAAAATGAGCTTTTCTCGAAGCTTTCCAGGTCGCCTTCATTGGGAAATACGTTAAATAAGCGGAGTGCGAAATGAGGGGCGGGGTGCGAAAGACTTCTGGCGTACTTTCACTGAATGCGGACCTGGAAAGCTTCGAAAAAGATTCATTTCCGCAGTTTTCACGCGCTGAAAAGCCAGACATGGATTGCTCGTGGCGAGAAGGTCCGAAAAGGTGAAAAACTGGAAAACGAA